TTCCTCCTCCTCCTCCTCCTCCTCCTCCTCCTCCTCCTCCTCCTCCTCCTCCTCCTCCTCCTCCTCCTCCTCCTCCTCCCTGCCTCCACCGCCCGCCCCATGTCCCGAGCCTGTGGCAAGGGCACTGGCCGTCAGGCCTCCGTAATCCGCCGGCCCCCTTGTGGGGCCACCAGGCTGTAGGCCCGTGATTCGCAGTTTCCTGTACCAGTTGTAGCTTGTAGTTTCCAGTGTTACAGTTCTGCTTCTTGCTGGTTGCTGTAACTAGTTGATTGACCGCGCGAGGAGGGGGGAGGCCCAAACGGGACTTTTTAGCACCCCCTGGGCGCGTTGTCTGAATTGCTGGGGGGGCTCGAAATCGACACCCCTCACGCAGATCCGCGGGGTCAGGGTACAAAAACACAAGGCATTTACCACATTTCTGAAATTCGGTGCCACCCCTCACGCAGATCCGCGGGGTCAGGGTCCAAAAACACAAGGGATTTGCCACATGTCTGAAATTCGGTGCCACCCCTCACGCAGATCCGCGGGGTCAGGGTCCAAAAACACAAAGCATTTGCCGCAGATCCGCGGGGTCAGGGTACAAAAACACAAGGCATTTACCACATTTCTGAAATTCGGTGCCACCCCTCACGCAGATCCGCGGGGTCAGGGTCCAAAAAGGCATTTACAACATTTCTAAAAATCGGTGCCACCCCTCACGCAGATCCGCGGGGTCAGGGTCCAAAAACACAAGGCATTTGCCACATTTCTGAAATTCGGTGCCACCCCTCTTGCAGATCCGCGGGGTCAGGGTCCAAAAACACATGGGATTTGCCACATTTCTGAAATTCGGTGCCACCCCTCACGCAGATCCGCGGGGTCAGGGTCCAAAAACACAGAGGATTTGCCACATTTCTGAAATTCGGTGCCACCCCTCACGCAGATCCGCGGGGTCAGGGTCCAAAAACACAGGGGATTTGCGACATTTCTGAAATTCGGTGCCACCCCTTACGCACATCCATCGCAAGGCGTGGTAACCCAAACTGCGAGTACTCCCTCGGCCCTTTAATCCCAAGGTGTGGTAACCAAGCTCGTAAACCATACACGTCTTACCAATCGCCCTGTGTGGTAACCCCTCTTGTGATCAGTTGGTTTTGCCGATTGCGAATCGGCCTCGCATGAAGTTCCGATACTGCTGCACGACAACGCCAAGGCCTCATGACTTAGCTCTTCCATGGCCCATTCTCCGAGAGAGGGGGCCGGCGGCAGGGGGCGAAGCCCTTACGGATATTCACAGATCCCGCCGTTAAAGGATTGACGACTTCTGCTGCCCTTCGACTCGCGCTGGAGCGGCCGCGAGTTGCTCCAACGTTTTCTGGAGATCTCTGAATATACTTGAATTCATCTGGACTTATCTCGATGCATCTGCATGTGCCTGGATGTACCTCGAATTATCAGCATCTGCCTGGATTTATCTGGTCCTCCCACCACTCCTCCACATGTTCTGGAGTGCCGTCCTCTCCTCAAGGGCTCCCAACTTCGCACTTCGCGCTGCGCGGAGCGCGAAGTGCGACTAGCTTCGCGCTCTCGCGCCGCCTCCCAGGGGAGAAGAGGAGGACGAAGAGGCAATGGAGCCGACGCGCGAAGCGCGAATAACTCCGCGCCCTCGAGGACGCCCTTGCCTCCTCCGCGTGTCTCCACGTGGCGCACACGCTCACGGGGACGAGCGGCGGTCTGTGCCCGTGCCTGTGTGCCCCCCTCCCGCATGCGGGGCGCTGGGGGCCCTCGCTGCCAGAGCGCTCGCAAGGGCCGACCTCGGCAAGCTCGTTGGCATCTGGCGGGCCGTCTCTGAGGCCCCCGGGGGCCAGCCCGGGATGCCGACATATACGCCACGAACATGTGTATATATACACATACACGTAGAATATACATACACATCCGTACACATACTATACCTTCGTGTGTATAAGTTCATATATGTATATCCATAATATATACACATAGATACATACAGGTATATATACGTATACGCATCGACACATTCTATACATGCAAATATATATATATATATATATATATATATATATATATATATATAATTATATATATTACATATATACATCAACACATACACATAATATATATATATATATACACATACATACACATACACCCTCTGACGAATGTTGCATGTGCCTCCTTATGTATAAGTCGCTGGCGCTCAGTGGCGAATTATGCACCGCCGCCCTCCCCTGGGCCCAAGAACAATCCAGTGGAGGGCATCTGTGTATATTTGTTTTGTTGTGGCGGGACATCGGCCAAATCCAACAAGTTTTTCTCTGCGATCTTGGCAGTCACGCCGCATCGGTCGCGAGGGTGTCCAAAGAAAGCCCAGGAGCCCCCAAGACCAGCCCAAGATGACCAATGGGTCCCCAACAAGAGAGGCTCCAGATGCACCCAAGACGGCCCCAAGAGGGCCCCACTAACGTGCCACGGTCGAACCGCTGGAAGGCAACCCCTCCAACAAGCTCCCAATACCCCCAGGACGCCCCAAAGAGGCCCAGGACTCACCCACGTAGGCCGCAAAGGACCCCGTGAGCCCTCCCACGAAGCCCCCAAAGATCCCTCAAAATGTCCCCATCTCTGGAACACGACTCAAGCGCAGTGGAGTGGCGGGATGGGCTGAGGACATGGCCAGCATTTGCGTGAAAGCTGCCCCCGTGCTCCTTGCCCCCGTCTCCCTCCGCCTCTTGCGCCCAAGCTGTTAGCTTCCCTGGGTCGGCGGAACGGGCCGCAAGGCTGTTGCAGTACTCCGGACCCCTTTGACTCATGGGGAGGTGCCGTTCTTCACGTTCTCTCGCAGGATGTCGCCGGTGGAGATGTGAACGTAGCCGTACTTCGCCTCGACCCGCTGGCACCGAGGAGGCCAGGGATCCCATGAATCGCAAAGCAACCCCTCAAGGCAAAAAGAAACAATGTAAGGAAAATGACAAGACGTAAATGAGTAACAAACTTCATTACACCAGAGGGAAACCCCAATCAGTGGATGGTTTGAAATGGGATCGATAAAGAGATCGATAAAGAGATCGACCGGGAACCCGGGAACTCGGGAACGGGAATCCACCGAAATCGGCCCGGAACCAATAACCAAGAACACGGGAACCCGGAACCGGGGAACCCAGCCGGCTAACCAAATCGGCGGACAACTTTCGCCAAATCTTTCAATATCCGCTAGGACCCCTTCAATGCACGCACTAATTTGGGGAAGAATAGATTGCCCGTGCTCGGGAGTCTGGGCCACACGGAAATCCGCCGCCATGTCTGCACGGAGTGGGAGTGTTAGAACGCTCCTCTGTTGTCTGGTAAAGATTCTTCAATGTTTTCTCAAGCCGGTCCATCCACCTCTTCGCCGCGCCCCCCTAAAATTCCACCCCTCCTCTTCAGAGCACAGTTCTGGCCATTCTCCATATCAAATTACACAACAAGTATGGGGGCCGAACACAAGCCCCCCGAGGACGGCCAAAATATGCGCCCCGAGGGGGATCAAACCATCACAAGAGGGGTGCAAACAAACTTCGGAAATGATCAACAAATGAAAAAACATAAAAACCCAACCACAGTCCGAACCAGAAAACAGGCCTCAAGACTGCCAGTCTCGCCCTAATTTCAAGCTCGCTCCTGCTAATTAAGCTGTTGCACAAGCGCGGTGGCGGGGTTTGCCGCAAGGAGTTGGACATACAAGATGGTGCGCAAATCCGCAGGAGGTGGTGAAGAGCTCCAGGGCCCGGGCACTGCAAACAACAAGACATCAAAGGCCGATGAAATCACGGCATGTCAACCAACATCGGCTGTTTTCTGGGGCTCGAACGGGTCTGGAATCTGTTTTTGTATATTTTCCGGGATAGCGACCGTCACCGCCCCCCCCCCCACAGATGACGTCACTTTCCGCGCCAGCGGCGTCTGGGAATGTCCAGGGATGACCGAGGCCAAGTAGGAGCAGCATTTAGGTGGCGATCTGCACCACCGCGCCTGTGTACACCACAGTGCTCGCGTGTACACCACAACGCCTGTGTACACCGCAACAGCCGGGTTCACCGCAGTGCCTATGTACACCACAGTGCTTGCATGCACCACAGCGCCTGTGTAATTGTCGCGAATGTGTACACCGCAGCAGCAATGTGCAACACAGCGCCTGTGTACACCACAATGCTTGTGTGCACCGCAGCGCCTGTGCAAACCACAGCGCCCGTGTACACCACAGCATCCGCGTGCAACGCAGCGCTGGTGGGGGTGGGGCACCTGGCCGTGGCACTTCATGGGCGTACCGGGGATGGCCCCAGATTTCCACCGAAATATGTGTTCAATCCGCCTTCTCCGACGTCCCCCGACCCCTTCCATGTTTTTCCCTTCTGTGCCTTCATAATCCAGGGCCCGAGAGAGGGCCCCGGCAACAGGGATCGACGAGAAACGCCGTCATTGAAAAATCAGGTCGTCTGAAATCCGGGTTCGGGTTTTCACTCGAACGCCGTTTTTTGGATCTCATTCAAAAAACGTTCACCAAGAACCTGTGGGTCCCGAGTAGTTTGTTGACTGTCCTGGGGCCCGGTGGGTGCCCCCAGGGGCAGGACACCATCATAGACCTTCCGTCGCGATTGTTGCACGACGCGAGGGGCGACGGGGCGAGGGCGCAGTGAAGGCCGAGACGCAAGGGGGGCACGAGGAGGACCCGAGTATACCAGAGATGCATGAACGATGCTGCGATACAGCCTCCCATCCCAAGTTCCCTCCCCAGAGAGAAGAACATCCACCCCCCGAATGAGCACCCCGACAAGCGAAGCCGTTTAGCAAACGCACCCAAGGAAGGACACCGAACAGGGAAGGGCTGTTCAATAAACGCCAAAGGCCGTTTAGTAAACGCCAGTTGTCGGGTCCAGGCGGTTTTTCCTCACTTGACTCCTCAGACGCCCCTACAACTCCAACTTCTTGCTACAAAAATGCGCCCCCGTGAAGAGCCCGCAGAGTCGGAGGTGCCATTTGGGCAATTGCCCCGCTTTGATCAGGCATTGCCTTGTCCCTGGGCGGCGCGCAGTCAGGAACGCGAAAGACAACGAGCACACAGTTCAACAAAGTGTCCAGCGAAACACCCTTCTCGACGCAGGACCGCGCCCCCACGCGTGTCAATGATGCGCATGTTTGTGCGAACGGCCATGAAATCCGAATAATCCCAAAACGCGACTCCATCTTTGCAACGGAACCGCCATGGATCCGTGCATCGCTGCGTGCATTGAAGCGTCGGGACTTTTCCGAGCCCCCAACGATAACTCCATTTGAAAACGAATAGTCTTTCACCCGGCCGAACGTTGCGTGACACAGCGAATGCGCGGAGCGCTGCGGCAAGATCCAAATCTTGGAAACGAGCAATGCCCCCGATCCGCCCCTCAAACTTCCCTAAACTTTTGCTACGAATGCGTTCGACGACAAGGCGAGCACCACATAGCGAACGTGCTCCCCTCCGTCCGCGAGCCTCTTGCGGACGTGTCCGGCGCACGCACGCGGCGCCGAAGGAAGAGCCGCATTTTCAAAATGAGCCGCCCTCCACCAGCGCAGCCCCTGCGAACTCTTAACGCGAGCGTGCGTGGCGCCACGGCGAGAGCCGCATCTGGAACAGCGGATGCAATGCAAACGTGTGCAACGAAAGCGCGCGGCGCTGAAGCGAGAGCACCCGTGTGACCCCCCCCCCCTCTACTCTTCGAGCTGTCGCAGGCTTTTGCAACGAACAAGCGCGGCGCTGAAGCGAGAACGCCACTTTGACCCCACCCCCTCTCCATCGGTTAAACGGTCGCAGGCTTTGTAAACGGATGTGCTCGGCGCTAAGGCGCGAGCCACATGTTGAAAACCACTCGTGCTCCATCCTTGTAGCTGTTGCAATCGTTAAGCTTCAGGATCACAGGCGGTGATGACGACTCAAGCAAAGCGCCCAACCTGCCCGTCCGACACGTCTGGGGGTGCGACAGGGAGGAGCTAGTCATAAGGAAGAAGGGTGGGTGAGAGGGACAGGCTAGGTGCGCTCGCGCCATATCTTAATATTTGCTCCTCCCACCCATCCCTTTCGATGTCGCTGCTTTCTCTCAATGCACCGACGGGTGTCATAGCTTACCTGGAGGGGCGAGCTGGCGGATGGGAGGCTGAAGAATGGCCGACCCGACCAATCCTTAAACCTCAGCGTTCCCAATCCCCTGGGCGCGCCTGGGCGGGAAGACCTGGATAAGGGGGAGGACCGGGCCGGGCGAAAGGGGGGGATAGCAAAGGGGGGGTTTGAGAATCAGCTCACGTAGCTGATTTTCCCCCACGCCTCCCGGCGCCGGAGGCGGCCATGTATCGAGGAATGGGCCCCTCGATGGGGCCGAAACCAGCTGCATGCAGCAGATTTCGTAACCCCCCCTTCCCCAATCCCCCCCTTTCGTCCGGCCCGAGAGGAGGAGGAGAAGAGGGAAGGGGGGGGGGAAGGGGTGGATGGGACGGCGGCGGAAGAGGAGAACGAAGACGAGGAGGAGGAGGTGGAGGAAGAGGGGGCGAAGCAAGGGGCTCGGCGGGAGGGCGTGTTGTCGGCCGACCCCGCGCGCGCGCGTGGCCTTGATCTTGTCGCACTGGGTGCCCTTGCCCGCGGCCGGAGGGCCGGCGATGACCACCAGCTGCGCCAGGCGCCGAGGCGCGTCGTCGTCGCCGTCCTCCTCCTGCTGCTTTTCTCTTTTCCTCCTTCTCCTTCGCCTTCTCCTTTTCCTTCTCCCTCCCTCCCTCTTCCATCCCTCCCTGCCCTGGCGCAGAAAGCCTCAGACACATTTTTCGAGATGGTACGGACAGCAGGGGTACCCGTACCAATTACAGATCCGACACATCCCCTCTTCCCTACTCCTGCTCCGACTCCAGCGCTAATATGCATGTGGTGTACTTCTCAAGGTACCACTTCCAAGGGACTCCGACAACACATCATACGTACACGCTACAGCTTTGTGGATATAGTATCAAGATTCATGGGAGAAGGATCCTTATGCATGTCATGTTCCACATCCTTCTCCAACAGGCGGGCCCTACGCAATCATCTTGCATACGACGCCCCACGCTGTTGCCTCGCCTATTTTTTGCACGGCACGGTGCTCAGTGCCGACAGAGCCGAAGAGCTCAAGCAGCAAGAGGTCAAGGACCTCACACGACAAAAAAGAGCAGGACTTGGGCGCTGGAGGAGCGCCTACCCTGCAAGAGTGATCATACCGCCTGACGGCTTATACCCCGCCGCCATGCTAGTAGCTTCTCACTTCACGGACAAAGAAGCAAGGAAGATCCTACGCACTCCTGGAGCATACTACGAGTTTACCCAGGAGGCTCTATCCCAATATCAAGCAATACTTGCAGATTCAGAGGAGAACATACCACCAATACTGCCACAATATGCCGACAGATACTGGAGATACCGACCCCAGGACTACACAGGATGGGCTAAGGAAAAGGTCCCCTGTCGCATCCATCGCACCACTATTTTCATCCCCAACCGATTCTCAGGACAGCGACGACACGGGGACATCCAGACGTGGATGGAAGGGCACTACACAACGACACAATATGAAGTTGTAATGCTCAGCGTGGACATAGCCATTAGTGCAGAGCTAGGTGACCTTACCAGACAGACCACCATCGACACCTGGGCTGAACACATCCTGGCCAGGAGAGTGTGGAATACGGGGGGGGGGCACCAAGCGAGACATGGAGCGCAGCCAGATGGCTGGATGGGCCCCCCCCCCACTCAGAACGCATGCTTGGATGTGGGAACTGCCTGCCGTGACGGATCGACAATCACAGCAGCTTGATGTGAGCAGCAGTCTTTCATGGAGCACTGTTCATTTAATCGCCTGCCATGTGAAGGCCGGCACAAGCGCGTGGATCGAGCACCCGGAACCAGCATTGTGGCGTTCTCAAGCACCCTCGAGCTTCTATTGGGAACCCCTGGAGGCCCTACAATCAAGTCCAGTGTGCTACACCGCTAACTTCGACCAATGCGTCCATCACGACTGTAGCCCAAAGACCATCGGCAGGGCCCCCACAGGGCTCCTCGGGTTCCGCATGCCCACGTTAGCACCCTACTTGCTTAGTGCTGGAGCTCGCGGACGTTGCAATCACCCCAGAGGATCGCATCTCTCGCTGCAGGGAAAGGACGAACGAGGGACGTTCCATACGAGTCGAAAGAAAGCATACCCGACAAACATGTGCAAGCACCTTGCCGCAGCCATTGCAGATACGACCCAGTCCCAGTTTGCCTCACCCACAGAATGTGACGTGAATGCGGAGGACCCCGACCCAGCTCTGGTCGAAGATCTCTGGACTTTTTATTGCAAGGAATTAGGAGATGAACTTGCAGTCGCGCCAGATTTCGCCCGCCAGGAGCGTCGTCGCCAACGACCAGATCCAGAAATGCACAGGTTCCAGTCAGGACAAGAGCAGTACGAGGTTGAACCGACTCCTGCTCCCGATCCAGATCCTACTCCTGCTCCTGAGCCACCACCTCCTCCCCTTTTTCCCGGGGGCCAGAGCGCAGAGCATGAGGTAGAGGATTTCTTAGGGTCTCTTCCCCATCCCTCTTCTCCCCCTCCCCCGCCGCCCCCCCTCACGGCAGCGCAGATCGAGCGCATCGCTGCGTATCGACTCGAGGCGCGCCGCCGCAGGGAGGCCAGGGCGGAGGCAGCGGCACGGCGGCGGGCCCCGTGGAGAGGCACGGGCCTCTCCTTCGCCTCGCACTTCGAGGCCCGCCCGTGCCCCCCCTTCCTTTCTCTTTCAGCCGGCTTCCCAATGAGAGCCGGCCCAGAGGACAGAGCACGGCGCCCGCGCCCATGCCTGCGTCCCACCACCACCCTCCCTCCCTTCTTCCCTCCCTCCCTTCTCCTCCACTCCTCCTCCTCGACCTCGCCCTCCTCGCCCACCTCCTCCTCTTCCTCCTCCTTTCCCCCCGCCTTCTCCTTCTCAGCCTCCTCCTCGTCGTCGGAGCTGGAGGAAGGGGAGGATGGTAGTGGCAATTGCACCAAACGAAACCGAGTTCTTCGACAAGACATGCAATTTATCAGTCCGACTGTCCTCGATTTCGGCCTCTGGGGCCCGTCATCGGGCCCGGGAACTATCAAACATTGAACTGGAACGCAGAACTACCTCTGGTGAGGGGTCGGGGGGCCTTTAGGGGCCGCGGCCGCGAACTGAAGCCACCGCATCGGTGGATGTCTGTGGGGGACGGGGGTGGCCACTGCACCTAGGGAAGCAAACCCAAAGCAGAGCAACTCGCACCACGACGACGACCACGTCGACGACGACGGAAACAAGGCGCGCTCACGCTCCTCGCCCCCTCAACTATCGCCCCCCCCATTACAGTAGGAGCCCGACCACAAGAAACCTTCCACAAGAAACCTAACCCTGAGACCCCAGAACGTCCGTTGATTTCTGGTCTGGGAACGCCACGTTCTCCATCGTAGAATCATGGGCACCCAAGCCAACCCAGGGCACCCTGGAGGCAGGCAGGGTGTTTCTTGGCCTGGGTCCCCACTGCACGCGACGCCCGAGCTTGGCTCTCGAACACGCAACGCCGGGAAGGCGCCCGCCCTGCGACGTTTGGCCCCCAGCGCGTCCTCGCGCGGTGGTGCACTCTGCCGCCCTCCCCGCCCGCTCAGGCCGCCGCTCCCCGAGGCCTCCCGGCTGGGGTCCGCGCGGGTGTGGCCGGCAGGCAGCATCGCCGATGCATCGGCGACGTCGGCGGCAGTGGCGTCAGGTCGGGCATGTCCTCCTAAAGGCGGACTTTGGAGAAGAACTAGAAGATAGTCAACCAAATATTCAAACTTAGTCAAAAGTAGTCGAAAAATCGTCCCCAGGCTGGTTTCTGACTATTCTTGACGAGTCCTCCTGTAGAGGGATCTGCCCGACTCATTGGCGACGTCGGGACAGAGAGCATCGGGCTTCACATCAAGCCGCATCGCCCGTGCATCGGCGATGCGGCGCGATCCTCCGACCCCATCCACTCGGATCCGATGCGGAGAGCCTGCAACTTCGGGTGTGCACCCTCATGCCTTGCCGAGCCTGTGGGCGCGTCTCGGCACCCTCTGTCCCAAACCAGTCAGGGCCACCGACAAAGGAGAGGACGGTGGTGATCGACGCGTTCCAGAGCTAAGAGAGTCTAAACGCCGCGGCCCAGAGAGCCAGCAAGACATAAAGAAGGCCGGACTGACAGCCAGGCGGCTTGCAGTACCAGGCAACCCAAGCGGGGGGGGCACTTCATCGGGGACAGAGGTCCCGAGCAGAGCAACACGCACCACGACCACGATTACGACGCCGACGAGGCACGCTTACGATCAGCAGCGAGGATGAGAAAAGGAGGGGTAACATCAGGGGGAGGTTGAGGGTCAACGATCGGGGGCACCGGCCCAGAGGGACACTGTCGACCTAGAATCGGGGCCACAGCACCGCTAGGTCGGCGACGCGCTCTCAATGCAGCTGGGCTGCTGAACCAAGGAACGATGAACGATCGGTAGAGATTGAAACTCTGGCCCGAAACGCGCCTGTGTGTGAGAGGAGGGCGATGTAGATGAACAGCCATGCGAGGACCTAAGGAACATCGAGACCTTTTCGAACCCACACTGTTCCGTATTTCAGCGTCTTGCCTGCACGCCACCGGTAGAGAAGCGACGTGCTCCCGATAGCGAAGCCGCACGGACCTGGGCGGGGCGGGGCTGTCAAGCCCCTAGCGGCGATGCCTGAGCCACTGGGGGGGGTCGACGCACTCTCCCCGGAGCCCCTCCCCTCCCCCCCCCCCCTTTGCGTGGCCCCCGAGAGGACGATGGGAACAGGGGGAAGCCTCGGAGGGGCGCGAAGGGAGAGGAGGAGGAGGAGGAGGAGGAGGAGGAGGAGGAGGAGGAGGAGAAGGAGGAGGAGGAGGAGGAGGAGGAGGAGGAGGAGGAGGAGGGCGTGGGCGCGAACACGACGCCCGCTCTCCCCCCCCCCTTCCGATGCCGCGTCTCCAGTCCCTCGAGGCATTTGACGCCTCGGGAGTTGTTTTCGGTGCGCGCCCCCCTGTGGAGTGACCCCTTCCGATGGGGGGACAAGCTTTACCCGTCAGCGGCCCCCAGACTGACCGGGGGAGCAAAGCCAGTACCAATGAAACGCCGCCGAGGGGAATCCATAACGTGTTGCTGTTGAAGAAACGCCAGGCGCTCGGAACAAAAACTAAGGAATAACACGCTGACGGGATCGCAACGGCGGCGTGTCAGTGATACTCGTTCGCCCTCCTGACGGACGCCGAACAACTGTGAAGAAAACACGCCCCTGCTGTTATTCAAGACGCTGGAGGTCTGACAGGAAGAAAGAGAAGCAAGGCACGAGCACGAGAGAGCCCGCTCCTCTCCGCGCCCCCCCTTCTCTTCTTCTCCTCCTCTTCCTCCTCCTCCTCACTGTTACTCCACACTTCTCACTCCTCACTCCTCACCCTCACCCCTCACCCCTCACTCCTTCTCCTCCTCCTCCTCCTCCTCCTCCTCCTCCTCCTCCTCCTAGTCCTCCTCCTCCTAGTCCTCCTCCTCCTCCAGTTCCTCCTCCTCCGTTTCCTCCTCATCCTCCTCCTCCTCCCTGCTCCTCGTCCTCCTCCTCCTCCTCCTCCTCCTCCTCCTCCTCCTCCTCCTCCTGCTACTCCTGCTCACCCCTCCTCCTCCTCCTCCTTCTCCTCCTCCTCTTCCTCCTCCTCCTCCTTCTCCTCCTTCTCCTCCTCTTCCTTCTCCTCCTCCTCCTCCTCCTCCTCCTCCTCCACCTCCTCCTCCTCCTCTTTCTCATCCTCCTCATCACTCTTCCTTACTCTTCCTCCTCACTCCTCACTCCTCACTCCGCCTCCATCATCTCCTCCTCCGCCTCCTCCTGTTCCTCCTCCAGCTCCTGCTCCAGCTCCTGCTCCTGCTCCTGCTCCTCCTCCCTTCTCACTCAACACTGTCTAACTCCTCCTCCTCCTCCCACTCCTTACTACTCCTCACTCTTCACTCCTCACTCCTCACTCCTCTCTCCTCACTCCTCACTCCTCACTCCTTACTCCTCCTCCTCCTCCTCCTCCTCCTCCTCCTCCTCCTCCTCCTTCCTCCTCATTCTCCTCCTCCCTCTTTGCTCCTCCTCCTCCTCCTCATCCTCCTCACTCCTCCTCCTCTCCTGTCCTCCTCCCTTCCCTCCTTCTCCTCCTCCTCCTCCTCCTCCTCCTCCTCTCCTCCTCCTCTTCCTCCTCTTCCTCCTCCTCACCCCTTCCTATTTTCCTCCTCCTCCTCCTCCACATTCAACTCCACCTCCTCCTCCTCCTCTCCTCACTCACTCACTCACTCATCACTCCACTCACTCACTCACTCACTCACTCACTCACTCACTCACTCACTCACTCACTCCTCACTCACTCACTCACTACTCATTCCTCCACTCCATTTTCTCCTCCTCCCTTCTCCTCTCTCCTTTTCTCCCTCCCGTCTTCTCCTCTTCCTCCTCCTCCTCCTCCTCCTCCTCCTCCTCACTCCTCTCTCCGCCTCCTCCTCCCTCCTCTTTTCCTCCTCTGTTCCTCCTTCCTCCTTCTCACACTCCTTCATACTCCTCCTCGCTCATGCCCCCCGTTGGCACGCCCCCCGCAGGCGGACAGCCAGCCTCCGCTCCGCCCGCCGTGCCGGCCGCTTTGAGGCTGTCCGTCTTCGTCTTGAGGTTCTGTAGCAGGCTCTGGGAGTTCTTCATGATGTCCTGGCTTATAGGAGGGGGTTCTCATCACTCCTCCCTCCTCCGCCCTTTTCTTCCCTCCGCCATCCTCCTCCTCCCTCTTCTCTCCCTCCTCCTCCTCCTCCTCCTCCTCCTCCCCCTCCCTCCTTCAACTCCACCTCCTCCTCCTCATCCTCCTCCTCCCTCCCTCCTCCGCCTTCTCCTCCTCCTCCTCCTGCACCTCTTGCTCCTCCTCGCGACTGGCCGCGGTGCATAGCTCCTTCCTCTGCTCCGCGTCGCGCCTGCCTGGCGCCGCAGCTGGGTGCGAACTACCTGCACAGTGGCGGGCGCCTCGCGTGGGAGCGCGGGTCTGCCGAGGATGGCCCCTCGGGCCCCGAGTTTAATGTAAAAGCAGGCAAAGCACGATCGGAACTTCAAACCTGGTCTTCGAAGGCTCTTCGAACCCGAGAACGTCCCACCCGTCCCAGTCCACCCCCACCACCCCAGGCTCGACGACTTCCAGCACCAGGGAACGGAGCCGAGGGCACACAATGGAGTGCCACATGCGACCTAAGGCAACACAGCCGAGACCACACGAGGAGGAAAGGTGTGCTGGAAGCGCCGCTGCGTGAGCCACGCCTGGCTTAGCGTGCGAAATAAGGCGAAAGCCAGGGCCGGCTTCAGCTGTGACACAGCAGTACGAATTAAATGCCGATCAATGGCGAAGAGGTTGTCCCGGCCCTCAGGGAACCAGGACAGGAAACGCTTCCGAGCCAATGCATGGAATTCCTCGGGCAGAAAAAGGGTGACCGTCGAGGCGGCCAGCAGTGTCCGTTGAATTTTCAGCTTGGGTGGTCTACGGCCTGCGCGGGCCACTTCACTCGTCTCAGTCCTCAGCCTGCTAAGCTTTTCCTATCCAGGACCCAGGAACCGAACATGGGGCTCATCAGGAAATCCTGCAGCGGCGTCATGTAGTCTCTGGCGCAAGGCGGGCGCTCCCCACCATTCAGGAGAAAGCTCGTCTCGCACATCAACAGCAAGAGGTCGCCTCAACAGCGCCTTGGCTCTCAAACGAGCCAGCATCGGGGGCCGCGAGTCGGCGAAGGTGGAGAGGGCAGCCCGCCCGTCAGCTGCAAACGCCGTGAAAATCATACACGGGGTCTTAAGGCCTCCCCATTTGCTCATCCGGAACAGTCCTAGACCTTGTCTGCTCAGCGCACAAGGCGGGGCGTGAAGAATGCTGGTGAGCAGCGCTGCTTCCCAGCCCACCAGCGCCTCGGGGTCTAGTGAGGAGGGAACTGGGCAAAATTACGTCGGGGGCGTCGCGAAGCGAAAAGCGTGCAGGATTGCGGCGACAAAGGCCGGTGAATTGGTTACTGCAAGCAGGTGTCCGCAGCTTCGCCACTTCCCAAGTGGTGCTGCCCAGAACTTCTCATAACTATGGGGCCCACCCGCGTCCCCAAGTACATCAACGTGGCAGAGATGACAAACCCTTCCCCTCTGGTACCAGCTAGCTTATAGCCTCCGAGTGCCTAGCGGCTGGCTCTTCGGAGACCCGGCCACTGAGCGGGGTGGCGAACAATTGGCGCGTTTGAGTGCCAGGGCGGCCTGCTTTTGAATCCATGGGAAGACCCTGTGGATCACCCCCAGGAGCTCGAGTTTCAGGATTACCGCGCTCGGGTCGTCGGCGCAAAAGAAGCATCGCGACTCGGTGCCGCGCCGCGAAACTGGCTTCAAACTCAAGCATGAACGGGTTCAAACTCGCGGCGCGTAGAGCACCGCTGGTGGGGCAACCTTGAATCAATAGAAACGCCAGGACTGGAAGTCGACGATGGACCCGAAAGACGCCCTGGTAGAGAACCGTGAAGGACCAAAGGGGCGGCCCTGGGATGCCCGTTTTCTGTCGGGCCTCCATCATCCAGGAGTAGGAGACGGAAAGGGGAGGCCTGCCCGATGTTGCGCGAGAGGATGGCGGGGAGGTCGATTTCGATGATGTTCGCGCCGGCCGGCCTACCAACGGTGAAGCCCCGCTAAGAGGGCGCAGCTGACTTCCGCCATCTTCGCCCACCATGGGCAAATCACCTGGCTCGGGAGAGACAAATTCTCCGAATTCTTCAGGCCGGGCGGGCGGAGCGAATGGGCGTCACGGATAGCTCCGCGTTCGCCCCCCCCTCCCCCTTCGGCGCGAAGGTCCCCATGGGGGCGTTGCAGCTGGGGCGACGTGGGCCCCCTTCCAACATCCGCCGCGCGCACTCGTCTAGCAGCTCCGCTCCTCGTGGTCCGCTCCGCCGGGCAGCGTGAAGCAGGCGATCTCGGCCTGGCGCGCAGTCTTCCGGCATCTCCAGCCTCGTCCTCAGTCCGGCGAGGGACATCCGAGAAGTCCAAGTGTCCTCCAAAGCGCTCGAGATAGGCATCCGAAGGGGAGCTGAGAACCTGCTCGGGTTCAAGTACCTCTCCCCAGTCGCCGCTGATCGCTGCAGACATAGCTGCAACCTCCTCGCCTAACTTGATACCTGTCAAATACAATCGCCTATCGAACGGGGACCGGATGGCGGCGCGTCTCTGGGGTCGACGGATCTGCTGGCGACGTTTAGGACGGGGCGTCTCGGGGGTACCGCCATTACTTTTTTCCCAGTATTGCTGCTTGTTGGGCATCGCGATCGGCGGGCTGCAGTCGGCCTAGGTCCGCTGGAAACCCACCGAGGTCTAAAACCTAGAGGCGTCGGCCGCGGCCACCCTGGCCTAGCCCCTCACGAGCAGCCGGGCGCGCCTGGGGAAGGATCGAGGTAAGCTTCGCATCTTGCCCTGAAACAGCTTTGGAAGCCGAGCGAAAACAGATTATCCGAGCCAACCTCGAGTCGGGTTCGTGGTGGCGAATGGCGCCCCCCGCGACTTCGGACCCGCGCGCCATCGGATACTTGCGCGAGTCTACCTTCGGCGGCAGCGACAGGCCCCCCCGAGAAAACTCGCCCGGGTGGGCCTCCGTTAAGTTCCCTAACCATTCAATATTGCAGAGCCCCTCGGGATGGGTGGGGCACGCCCCCCGGCGGGGCCTGGGGAGGGGCGGGGGCCCCGAGTCCATCGAGGCGGGGTCGCGGTCCGAGAGCCCCCCAGTCGCGCGCGACCCCGGCCGATCTTCAGCGAACTCCAGGGCGCGCAGCTAATGAAACTCTACCAAGGGAGCAGCGCCAAACAGTAGCGGGTGGGATCTGCCTGTTCCACCCCCATCACCCGGCAGGGGGGAACAATTAGTGGGCGCCCCCCCGCCCCCCCCAAATTCGAAGTTGGCGCGCGGGGGGGGGGCCGCGATCGCAGGGAAACCCGCCGGCCCCATCACAAACTTTAATCGTTGTGTGTGTGTGTATGCGTATGTGCGCGTGTGCGCGCGCGCGTTCGTGGCGGTGTGTGTGTGTGGTGGGGGGGGGGGGGGGGGGCGATGAACGCGGCGCGCGCGCTCGTTTTTTTTTTTTTTGTTTTTTTTTTTGTTTTTTCCAATAATATTATTATTATTATTATTATTTGTTTCCTCTCTCTCTCTCTCTCTTTCTCTTTCTCTTTTTGTTTTTTCTCTCTCTCTCTCTCTCTCTCTTTTCCTCTCTCTCTCTCTCTCTCTCTCTCTCTCTCTTTCTCTCTTTCTCTCTCTTGTTCTCTCTCTTGTTCTCTCTCTTGTTCTCTCTCTTTCTCTCTCTTTCTCTCTCTTTCTCTCTCTTTCTCTCTCTTTCTCTCTCTTTCTCTCTCTTTCTCTCTCTTTCTCTCTCTCTCTCTCTCTCTCTCTCTCTCTCTCTCTCTCTCTCTCTCTCTCTCTCTCTCTCTCTCTCTCTCTCTCTCTCTCTCTCTCTCTTCTCTCTCTCTCTCTCTCTCTCTCTCTCTCTCTCTCTCTCTCTCTCTCTCTCTCTCTCTCTCTCTCTCTCTCTCTCTCTCTCTCTCTCTCTCTCTCTCTCTCTCTCTCTCTCTCCCTCTCCACGCTTTTCAAGGGCCCGTATCGCCAGAAAGACTTTGCGCAGAGGGCCACGGCTGCCGCGCCGCTCGGGGCGCCCAACATTTGGGTGAAAGCTCGGGTCGGGGAGGCAGGGCCGTGGAGGGCCGGGGCTGATGTTGAATTCGCCAGTCAGCAGAGCCCGGGTCCGTTCGGGCATCGGCTTGGCTAGGTTGAGGTAATTCTTGATAGCTCTGGCAGCCTCGTCCAGCTCGGCCAAGCCGCTCGGCCCCGGACAGACCAAAACTGTCTGCGCTGCAAGGGGGGATCCAACAGTCCCCAGACTCGTCTGGAGTCGCAGTGAGTTTCAACATTCGCCTGGGCCATCTCCAGGAGGCGACGGATAACCTGGCCGCCCAGCGTGGAGAAGATCGCGAAACGGCCGCCGTCGTTCGACCTGTCGGCACAAGCGTGGCACATCTTGACTGGCCTATGGATTTGGCACAGCATGTCCCCAGCCTTCGCTGATGCCCCCTAGACTTCTTGGATCCCAAGGATGGCGGTTGAGGTGAAAAAAGACCGAGGGTGGGCGATCGTTCTCCTGCGGAAGTGGAGGTCACGGCGCAGCGAAGCCCAGGCGCTGAAATCGAAGGACCCGATCGCGAGGCAAATCCCCCATGCCAGGCGCGAAGGAGTCGGCTAAAAACACCGCGCAACCTCCTCGGCGTCCGAGAAGAAGCTGTGGACTGCATCGCGGATCTGAACAGCGTCCAGGTCCAGGCTCTGCGTGCTCCTGTCGCTGAAATGAACGGTCGGGTTTTGCGTCCCAGAGGCGGGTTCACACGCGCCCAGGTCCTTCCGGTCCTTGCTGCCCCCAACCCGTATTCCAAGTCCACGAAATACTTTTCTGCGCGGGCGAATGTCCGCAATTGCGCGCATGATCTTCGCATGGCCGAGTTCCACCCCCAACGTCTTGGAGCTCTTGCCGGGGGTGGTGGAGAGCGCGATGTCCTCGCCGCCGCGGAAGCACGGGGCCGGTGATCTCCCCCCCGCCCGCGTTGCGCCCAGGAAGCCTAAGCGCGCCGATCGGCTGGGAGACTTTCCTCGCAGCATATCCCTGAGCACCTCGCATCGCAACCTGGTGGCGCTTGTCGACGGGCTCGCCCTGCGCCTCGTACTCTGCGTCTTCGATTTTGTAGCCAGTGGGCCACGGGCCGAGACACAGGGACCTGCGTCCGCACCACACTGATCGTTGGGTACATCTACCTCGTGGAGCCTCCGGCTGTGTGCCGCGCCACAGGCTCCTCCTTTTTAAACAGACCCAAACAGATATCCAAGTTCTTGAACTTCGGACTCGAGGCGCTGCAGCCTCGTGTCGCGTACGCCCACGCGCGTCGCCACCTTGAACATCCGCTTCTTCACTGCTTTGTCGATGATCTCGCAATGCTCTGCCATCGTCTTGCTGAGCGCCGGGTGGAATTTTGCATGACCGCGAGGCTCTTCATGACCATGCTCTTCGTCTGGTCGATCTAGTGGCGCAATCCAATGTGTTCCTCACCAGAAGGGTCCGCACCACGACGTCCAGAGAGGGTCTCCGTGGACGGTTTCCACGGGCACTGGCGCCAGGCGCACGAAGCGTCGTGCCTGTGTCCGCTCCTGCGGATGAAGAGACGCTGGGGGTGAGGCCACCCGCCGCCTCAAGGGTGGCGCCGCCAGTGCCAGCGCGGTCGCCACCTGATCCACCACTTCGCCGCTCCGAAGGAGTCCCGAGAGACGGTCGTCGGCGATGAGGGTGGGAACGTAGGGCAAGCCGCGTCTACCTGCATGTAGGCATCGAGCTCGTCGTCGTCGTCGCCGCCGTCGTCGTCGATGGCCAAGTACTCCTTTTTCGGTGGGGCCTCGTCGTGGGCTCCTACTATGTTCTTGCCCAGCACTCTGCCAGGCCGCTTGGTGCCGCTGCCGGCGGGGCAGCTCCGGGCAGCGCCAGCGGGACCGGCAGCACCAGACGCCATGGCTGCGCTCGCAGGGCTTGCCTGGCATGCGGCGAGCAGGCAGACCCATCAGGGAGTCGCGCGAGGGACGCGCCGTGGACTCCTATCGGCAAGAAGGACTGAGCCAACCCCTCGGCCGCAATCAAGTCGGAACCATGGGGCGATGGTTCCAACTTGAGCCAAATGGCTTGAGCCAAATGGCTACGGAACCTCGTGCTCCTCCTCCTCCTCCTCCTCCCCTCCTGCTGCTGCTGCTCCTCCTCCTCCTCCTCTTCCTCCTCCTCCTCCTCTTCTGAACCTCTTCTCTCTTCCTCTCTCTCGCTCTGTCTCGCACACACACACACACACTCTCTCTCTCTCTCTCTCCCTCTCTCTTGTCCTCCCTCCTTCTTCCCCTCCTCTGGCGGGATGGGGGAGGCGAAAGCAGAGGAGAAGGAGGAGGAGGAGGAGGAGAAAAAGGAGAAGGAGGAGGAGGAGGAGGAGAAGGAGGGGGAGAAGGAGGAGGAGGAGGAGGAGGAGGAGGAGGAAGGAGGAGGAGGAGGAGGAGGAGGAGAAGCAGGAGGAGGCGGAGGGCGAGGGTGAGGCGGATAGGGAAGGGAGAAGGAAGAAGGGCGAGGAGTGATATGTAAGGAGAGGAGGTAGACGAGGGGTGAATGGGAGCGGAGTGGTGGGGAGGGCGGGGAAGTTTGAGGGGACAGCAACAAGATGACGGGGGGGAGGAAGGGCATGATGAGTGGAAGCAGGCGCAGGAGGAGGGGGAAGAATGGATGGAGGAGGAGGAGGAGGAGGAGAAGAGGAGGAGGAGGAGGAGGAGGAGGAGGAGGAGGTGACACGGCCAGAGTGGGAGGGGGCGGAGGAAGGGGTGAATGGGAGGCTGTCGAAGGGAAGGAAACGGATGATGAGGATCGCAAAGTGTGGAAGAGGAGGAAAGGAAAGGAGGATAGCGAAGAAGCGGAGGCTTAGGCGGAGGATGAGCAGGAAGAGGAGGGGGTGAATGCGGAAGGGGGGGGGGGAACGCGCATGCTAGTGGCGCGATGTAAAGGAGAGGAGGGGGGGGGGGGGGGGCTAGTGCGGGGGGGATGGAAAAGGAGGAAAACGGAGAAAGTGGGGGGAGGTGCGGGGAGGAAAGGAGGAAGAGGACGATGGGGAACGGGGGGGGAGGAGGAGGAGGAGGAGGAGGAGGAGGAGGAGGAGGGGAGGAGGAGGAGGAGGAGGAGGAGGAGGAGGAGGAGGAGGAGGAGGAGGAGGAGGAGGAGGAGGAGGAACGAGAACGAGGAGGAGAACGAGGAGGAGAACGAGGAGGAGGAGGGGAAGGAGGAAAAGGGGAAAGCCCGTAACCATTGTGACTCAAGCCATTTGGCTCAAGGCCGCTCGAGGCAACGACTCCAGCGGGGCACCCCTTCCCGGCGGCGCCCTGCCATCCACATCTCCGTTCGCCTTTCCGCCCGCTGCGTCCAGTCGCCGCTGGGTTAACCCGCCACTGTTGCGAATCCCACGCGGCGGCGCCTGCAGTTTCCGCAGCGGCGCGGGGCTGCTCGTGGCAGGCTGGCGCAGGCAAGGGTCGAGAAGCACGCGTGGGCTGGAGCAGAATGGACCGCCAAAAAAGCCTTCAAGGAAAAGGAACCGGTACATGGCAATGCCGGAGTTGCGGATGCAAGAAGACACCGTGGCAACAGTGGCACTGCAACCACTGCAAGAAGGCGCGGACCGAGAACGACGGGGATCAGGATGCGGACTTGGCCCCGAAGGAGCTTGATGGCCCACCGGGCCTTCCACCGCGACCTATTGGGCTTCAGCCACCGGCTGGAGTCGCGAGCCAGGAGGTCGCGCTGTCCAAGGCGGAGAGCGACAGTGTCCTCCAGCTTGCGACGAAGGCAGCGGACAAGGCCCTCGAGAAAAAGTACACGGCAATCTTGGAGTACAAGAAGCGTCTTTTGGATTGGCGCCGAAGGAGGGGCCCCTGCAGGCTCAGGCGCAGGCAGCTCGCCAGAAGGCGCAGGGCTTGGAGGCGGGCCTGCAGGCGCAGGCCGGCAACCACGAGAAGCTGGAGACGGCCCTGGCTGAGCAGAACCAGCTCTTGGAGTCCCTCGCGAGCCAGTTGGATGAGGCCAACCAGGAGTACGAGAAGCTGCTGGACCTGTTGCATTCCGACGTGGTTGGGGGCCCGGGCGCGGTGGCGAGGATCCCGGTGGCCAAGTTGCTGGAGGGTGACCTCAGTGACTTCGACCTGGGGGAGTGCAGCGCGCGCTCTTCGGCCTGGTGGATCCAGCTCTGCGTGAGGTCGCGGAGGAGGAGCGGAGGCAAGCAGGAGACAGGCAGGAGAAGATTTGCAAGGGCATCCAGGACCTGGCCAACGGCCTCGTCGGGTCGGCGGAGGAGTTCGCCAACAGCCCGCGGCATGAGCACGAGGAGCACGTCGAGCGCATGCCCAGCGAGAACGAGGAAGACCCGGGAGGGCGACGACGCGGCGGGAGCGCGTGAAGGCCCGTGCCCGCTGACGCGGCTCCCTGCACTGGTGATGTTCCTGCTGCTGCAGGGGGGCTCGGGGCTGCAGGTCAGTCTAACTTAACACCGGGGCCGACGCCGAGCCCGACGTTAGGCGAGCAGCGCGCGTGGCCATCGCCGAGGGAGCAGGCGCAGGCAAAGGGGCCGCCGGCGGCGCCGGGAGCGCTGCCGCAGCCCCCCGTTGGCCGCAACCAACTGCGGCTCGGGTGGGCAGCGGGCTGAGCGGGGGAAGGGTCCTCAAGGTACCCTCGGGCACTCCGGTGCCAACTGGCACATCTAGGGGAACGAAGAATGACATAAATCCGCCGACCCTGCCGGCGTGTGTGAGGGGCTTCTCCGTTCGACTCGTCGTCTCCGTCGTCTCCGTTCTCCCCCTCCCAGGGCTCTCCTCCTCAAGCGCGCTATCCAAAGCGAAACTAAGCGACGTCGTAGTGGAGTCGAAGGGAAGCCCCTTCTCTTTGATCCCTTCCCCGCAGGGGGGGGGGGGGGGGGGAAAAGGGGGGGGGGGAGGGAAGGGGGAGGGGGGGGGGGGGGCCGGGGCAGATACGACGCCGCCGGGGCGGCACTTTCCTCGAGCGGGCGGGCACGCACAGGATGCACTTCCTCCTCTCTGGTATCCTCCTCCCCTCCTCCTCCTCCTTCTCCTCCTTTTCCTTTTCCTCCCCTCCTCCTCCCCTCCTTCATCTCCTCCTCCTTTCCTCCTCCTCCTCCTTCCTCCTCCTCCTCCTCCTCCTCCTCCCGCAGAGGCGTCCCGGGAGCGGGCCCCGAGTCAAAATACCACCCCCCTAGGGCGCATTTTCCTCGAGCGGGCACGCCCGAGATGCACTTCTTCCTCTTCCGGGAGCACGTCCCAAGTCAGAATATCACACTCCCGCGGCGCACTTTCTTCGAGCGGGCACAATAAGGATGCACTTCCTCCTCCTCCTCTCCTCCTCCTCTCATCCTCCCCTCTCCTCTCCTCCTCCTCCTCTCCTGCTCCTCCTCCTTCCTCCTCCTCCTCCTCCTCCTCCTCATCCTCTCTCCTCCTCTTCCTCCCCCCACTCCTAGCCCTTTCGATCAGGGTCGGCGGCACCGGCCGCCAGGCCTCTCCAATAAAAACTCGGAGGTCCGCGCGGATTTCTCGGATCCGCGCTGGACACCCCTGGGGCGCCTCCGGCGCCGCCCCCGGCGCCGGAGGCGCGCCAGGGAGGGGGGTCCAGTGCCGATCCGAGAAATCCGCGCGGACCTCCGAGTTTTTATGTTTATGTCACTTTTTGTTCCCCTATCAGGGTACCCTCGGGCACTCCGATGCCAACCGGCACATCGGCGGTGAGGGGCCGCAAGCTGCCCCAGCTGGCTACGCGGTACCCTCGGCCCCAGCAGAAGCTTGGCCGTCAGCGGCAGCGGATCTGGCTGCGACCGGCAAAGTTTGGCAGCACGAAGTGATCAACTGTGACTGAGGTCTCGGCTTTACTGTTCCGCCGCTGGCGCCTACGAAAGAGGCTCGATGATGCTCGGTGCGACACGGGTTGGGCCGAGGAGGAGTCGATTGGGCGGGTGGAGATCGGACGGGGCGGGGAAGGGCCCTGGAAGTGCCTTCGAGCACTCATGCCTTGGCCTGCGAGCCCAGCGGCAGCGAGCCGCAGGGTTCTCCCCCCCGCCTCCGACTGTCATGCAAATGCCGCCGCTTGCGCGGCCTCCGTGCATCCACCCGAGGCCCGGGATGCCGCGTCCTGGGTGGGAGCCCTCGGTGCCGGCGCACCCTGGCAGTCTCAAGCCCGCAAGCTAAAGGCGGGCGCAGCAACGGGTCGAGCTTGGTGTCTGTCAGTCTAGGCCTCGCCAGAAGGACATGTTTCCATAGAGACGTGCAATGCCACTTGCTGGAAGTCGGCGAAGCAGTATAATGAGGGGGAGTGCCAATCGAACGTGACGGGGCTGCACGAAGTTAATGTGGATCCGAGCGACCAAAGCGAGCGTGAGCAAACCTCGCGCGGGATAGGTTAGAACGCCAGTATCTCGCCCTCGGAGATCACCGACGCTTGAGGCCTCTAGTCAGGGGTGGCGGTGGCGTGCAGGAAGTTCATGGGCATGGGCATGCCGCCAACGGATGTCCGCGACATGCCCTTTCAGCACAGGCAGTCCCTCATGTGGATCACCGCATGCGTACCTGGTGGGTTCTTCCTGGGGTCTGTCTGCCTGACTACTACCCCCGAGGACCAGAGGGCAACCAAATGTTCAGCCGCCTCGGAGAGAAGATTCATAGTTGGGGGCTTCCGTTTGTCTTGGGTGGAAACTGGAATGTTTCACCTGAGTAGTTTATTGAGATGGGTTGGGCTGGAAAGCTTTGAGGTCAAGTTGTCCGTCGCCCCACCTACACTTTCAAGTCCACGGCTAAGGTGTGGAAGACCGTCGATTTCTCTGTGATGTCTGCAGGTCTGGCGGCCAATGCTTGTTCCTGTCACTTCAACCAGAAGGCGTTGACGTAGCCCCACAGGCCTGTCATTGAAAAGTTTAAAGGCAAGCCTATGGAGCACTTAGTCACGATGCTGAGAAACCCTCTGGCCTTTCCCAATGAAGTTGTTGAAGGGCCTCAGCCAGGACCCCCAGTGTACCAGGACTTGCTTAAGAGAGCACGTAAGGACTTGTCTCGAGTGCTATAGGCTTTTCGTTGGAGCGCTGGCGCCGGAGCTTGTTCAGCGGGAGGTCCAGGCGGCCGACCTTTTGTGCGTGCGCCTGCGCTCCGGGCCGCCGGTGAGCAGAGGATGGAGGAGAGTTGTGATCTTGCTTCAGGAAGCTCTCCACCTCGGGGAGAGCGTGCGTCTGAATGGGGGGAGGTTGGCGCGATGGGCACTCTGAGCCAGGACCGTGGAGGACCACGCCGGCTGCGAGGTGACGCGCACAGGGAGGGCTGGAGGCCAACCCACGAGCGGGCCGTCCGGGCGAGAACCGCGCAGCCCCGCGAGTGGAGCGAACAAGCCGGCAAGATGCCAGATGCGGTGGCGCGGAAGTTCGGCGCTGGCGCTGGCGCGAAAGTGGAGAGATATCTTTGGAGGAGCAGGAGATGGGAGCGGACAGAGCTAGAATACACCTTGTGGTCGACAAACGCGGGAGAGGAGAGGCCCTGCCCCCCACTGGGAGTCCAACGGAAACGCAGGGGGGCCACCTAATTATGACAATGGGCCAAGCAGGCTGTTGGCAACGGGGGGGGTCAGGCCCGCGAGTGTAATAGAGTGCCTCTGGGCTGGGTGTCTGTGAGAAGACTGACCCTTCCCGGGGCCCCCATGGGACCCAATCGCAGGTTGATGACCTCTACCACAATACAGAAATGACACTGGACTCCTCCTGAGGCCGCCGAGGCCTTCCCGAATCCGATTGAGCATACGAAGGGGAAGGTGGATAAGCTCAGAGCAAGGATTGCAATATGCAGGACCTCGTTGGCCCCCCGGAGTCTCCGCTGCAGATCGGGCCAGCTGCTGGGAATGTAAAAAGAGTTCACGGCGCGCGGTATTGACGTGCTCAGGCCCGACAAGGCCATGAATAGGATCCTCGAGGTGCTCGGGGAGCTCCCGTGCTGGATGGAATGTCTTGGGGCCTACCCCGCGCTGCTCATGACTGCGATCCCCGCGATGCGATGTGAGCCAGGAGGAAGGTTTTCGACCGATAGGCCTGCTCCGGACCCCCACCCGTGTCTTCTCGAAGCTCGATAGCCGCGAGATCCGCGCCTGGGAGGCCCGTGTTGCCAGGTCCTATACGTAAGGCATCGCTGGCGGAAGCTGGGAGATGGCTGTCTGGGGGCAGAGTCTAGCAGTCGTGCAGCATCTCCGCGCGGGAGGCTGTTCGGCAGAGGCCCTCAGCGGCTTCACGAAGGCCCACGAGAAAGTGAATCGCTATCTTGTTGCCAGAGCTGCAGTAAAACACAGGTATGACTCGATGCGTCTCACGGTGACGTTGTCGTTGCACCGTGGCAAGAGGAGTATGAGCATCTTGGGGGCGTGTGTGCCCGTTGCAGAGGTCGACCAAGACGTCCTGGCAGGGTGCGGGGAGGCCACGAGTCTTTTGGGCTGTCCGCTGCTGGAACCTCTCGACAGCACGAGGGGGCACTTCGGGGGCGCTGGAATCTTCAATGTCGTCGATGAACGTTGCGGTCGTCAGGTCGTACGTCGCAGGTCGAGGTCAGGTTTCCGAGGGCAGTATTTGTTCTCTGCTCGGTTTTGGAGAAGCTGCTGCTGGTCATTTCTCAATCGAAGGGCCTGGCACTCAGCGCGCGCGCCAGCACCGGGCAGATGATAGTCAGCAAACTTAAGAGATGGAGCTTTGAAGGGGCGCTTCCGGGACGTGATCTTGGACGTAACCAGGCCCTGGCTAGGAAGGGGCCCCGTGGGTCCTGCTGGCCCAGTGCACGACGCGAACATGTTACCCTTGCTGATGTGGGGACAGGCGGTCCGCCACCACTGGCACAGCCGCAAGTGACGGAGAGGAGCTTCCAGTTATCCGCGAAGCAGCCTGCCTTTGACCGGAGTCTGCTTCCTGGACGCGCAGGGGCAGTCGTGCTCGCGCTCAGGCGGATCGGAGTTGAGGCCCGCGCCTGGAACTGTTTTGTCACGGAGTCGGGGTTGGTGATCGCTTTCGAACATCTTGGGCATCGGTCGCTCAAGGCGGTCTTAGAGAGAGTTGTTCGGGAACGCCCTGTCCAGGGACTCGGAGACTGTAGGATCGAGGGCCTCGATGATGCCCCCCTCCTGGAACCAGTAATCCAGGTATTACAGCAGCTCAGAGCGAAGGGTAGAGTTCGAATAGAAGCATGTCTTGCAAGAGTGATAGCAAGAGAGTTGCCCGACACAGGAGGTGTTGTTCCAGGACATGAGGGTCGTGGATAACAACTGCCAGCTATGCATGCCAGAGGTCGAAACTCCGTTTCACCCTTTTTTGCTATATTGTGCATCAGCCTCTCAATAGGAACTTCGGTGTTGAGGAATTGCAGAGCTTCCCAGTTCAGGAGTACACGAAAACTCTGCATACGAGAGCCTTGTTTCCTAATGCAGCTTGGGCGTTGCCCACACCGTACCAGCAGGCAGGCTGCGGATGGGACATTGTACCACCGAGCGGAGTTCTGGAGAGGAGCGTGTGTATTGATGAATTGCGGTTTGACCAAGGTCATCCTTCCCTCGCTCGTGCAGGCTGGGCCGTTGTTACTGCCACAGGTAGTAACCACATTGTTGCCTCAGCCTACGGGCCGCTCCATCATGTGATTCGGCTACCAGGTGCAGAAGAGGTCTTCGCCTTCTTTATGGCCCTCAAGCTGGCGGGCCCCGAGGGGCTCGAGGTTATTACATATTACAGGATGGTGGAGGACGTCTGGGGTTCGGGGCCAACCAGAACCTTTCGGATGTGGCTTTCTTGGAGCTCTGGTGGGAGATCTTTCGGGAGGCGGAGAACATAGGTCAGGACATCATGAGTGTAAGCAGGGCTAGGTCTCACTCGTCCGTCTGGGAGGCCCGTATGCAGAGAATGTCTGAGTGGGCCTGGAGGGGAATAAGCGAGCCGACGAGCTGGCTACGCTTTGTGCCCAGCAGCACCCGAGCAGCCCTCTTATCAAGACCCAGCTGCAGCAGAGCTTGAATTTGGTGAACAGTCAGCGTAGCAGATTGCAGAAGTCATGGATGATCTGGCGGCCAAGGATTTCCCTGATGCCACTAAGTACAAGCGGCCACGTAGACCCACACCTCATGTCCTGCAGCTTTTCCCCGGGCCCAGTGGGTCTAATTGGGAAGGTGGGTAAGCAGTACAGGTGTGCGGCCTGCGGAGAGCGCAGGCGGACGCGGTCGCACATAGCCCTGACGCCTTGCGGCGCAGCACCCCGCCCCGTGTTGCGAGGACCTCTCAACGAAGCCACCGTCTCTGGCTGGGTGGGGGGGCGGGCGGCTTGGTGCGCCACGTGAGGCGCTTTCGGGTCCTCTCGCTCTCGCCTGGGGATGGAGTGCTCCAGGGGACCTGGTAACAAAGATGCCGCCAATAGTTTCAACATGTTGAGGAGCGGGGTCGACACTGAGCTCGGGCCAGGGCTTCGGTCGATCCGTGCCTCTCAGCTGAAGTTGTCGAGCAGGTAGGGAGGCCACCACCAGCTGGAGCCAACAGGAGGAGGAGGAGGAGGAGGAGGAGGAGGAGGAAGAGGAGGAAAAGGAGGAGGAGGAGGAAGAGGAGGGAGGAGGTGGAGGAGGAGGAGGAGGAGGAGGAGCGAACGACGCCGAAGGAGGAGGAGGAGGATGAGGGGGAAGGAGACAGGAAAGAGGGAGGATGCAGGAGAGGAGGAATAGGGAGAAGGGGAGACGGACAAGGACGAAACATCGGCAACATATTCCGACACATTTGACAGTCCTGGGTTTCAGAGACAGAACCTGGAAGCGAAATTCAGCGTCACCATCAAACTATAGCACGACTTTTCCGAACCGCCGAAGTTCCACCAGCCCTCCGAGCGTGTATATGCGCTTTAGCGTTCTCCCAACCTTCCTTCTCCCCTTCGGGGAGGGACGACAGTTTGTGGCGTACCCGTTGGGAACCTGAGCCCTCCCTCTATCCCCTCCCGTGGGTCTGAACGGAGATGGGCGCGAGCGGTCGGAACCTCCAAGATGGCCCAATGTGGCTCCAAGGGGGGCTTAGACAGCCTCGGATGGCCTCCACGATGTGCATATCTAAGCCAAGGCAGCTTAAGATAACCTCCAGAATGCCTCCAAGAGGCCACACGACCGCTTCAAGATGGCTACTACAACCCTCCTCGAAATCAAACGCACGTTAGTAATGCTGGCCGACGCGGGAAACGCGGCCCACGCGGTCAGATCCCTGTGTCTGCAGTCGCCAAGTTCGGCGCGAGCATTGAGATGTTGGGGGCCTGGGGCACCGCCAGGTCTCAGGAAAAACTTGCAGTTGATTTCGAGAGGGGATGTAGTGGCCACAGAGCGTCAACACGAGGCCCCACATAGGGCAGACCCATCAAAACATCCAAGGGGTTCCAATATTGTTGTGGGGCTTCTCGCCTCGTCGCTTCCCATGGGCCTCAGGGGGCCTCAACATGGCCCGGGGATCGCCCAAGGTAGCTTCGAAAGGAGACACAACACTCCTCGAAACCAAACTCACGTTTTGAATGTTGATCGACGCGCGATTCGCGGCCCACCGGGTCAAGTTTTGTATGTGCAGTCGCCAATCTCGGCGTGAACATTGAGATGTTGGGGTCATGGGGAGCCACCACGTCGCGGGGAAAACTTGCGCTTGATTCCGAAGGGGGATGCATCACGAGGGTCCAAGACAGCCGAGGGGCGGCTGGAGGGGCGGACAGGGGAAGTCCTCTCCCTGAGCCTGGAAGGGGGGGCGACTCATAGGCACGCTCAAGATGGCATGATGGCTCCAATAGGGGAACGCAATGGCAAAAACACAAAAGCTCGGAGGTCCACACAGATTTCCCGCATCGGCGCTCGACCCCCCTCCCTGGCGCGCGGAGCGCGCCAGGGAGGGGGGCACGCGAAGCGTCGAGACAATTCGGAGTCTGCGTCGGATCGCCTTGTACGCGGCCTCCGTCTCCTCGATGGTCTTATCGCACTCCTCGCACGCCTGCCTCTTCAGGGCCAGGCCCTGGTCGATCTCAGCAACCCGGACAGAGAGGGCCTCGATGGCCTCTTGGGTCGCATGGCCACAGCCACAAAGAGCCCTTGCCCAATCCCCCAGTGTTCTCCTTCTTGTCCTCCGTGTTTGTCCTGCTCCATCTCCATCTCCTCCCGTTCGTCCTCCTACCTTCCTCCTCGTCCTCCCTTCGTTTCTTCTCCTCCTCCTCCTCCTCCTGCCCATCCGCATCCCCATCCCTTCCTCGCCCTCCTGGTACTCAGCGCATGCACCAAGCATTGCAGCCGAGACCTCGCCCTCCTCCTACTTCCCCTCGATTGCTCTCATCCTTCTCCTCTCAACCCAAAGATGTCCAAATCAATCGTCCTCCTCCTCCTCCTCCGCCTCCTGCTCCCTCTCCTCCTCCTTCTCCTCCTCCTCCTCCTCCTTCTCATCCCTTTCTTATCCTCCTTACCCTTTAGTCCCACACTCGGTGTCTGGTTCTGTTGTGCTTGCGGGTTTCTCGGCCAACCAACAAGCGGGGCTCAGGCAAGAGTGTCAGCGGTCCTTGAGCGATAACAGAAGGGTTTACCTGGATCGTTTTCAGAAGGATGTTTCTCAGAAGGCCCCTGGTAAGGCCGAACGGCCTAGTCGGACCTGAAGGCTTTCTTTCATGACATCGTTCTGTTTCTCCTCCTCCTCCTCCTCTTCCTCCTCCTCTGGGATGACCACCATGAGGGCCGGTGGTTTCCAACCCGGATCCTTCTGGATGTCCGCCTTCTCCTTCTCTTCCGCCTCAAGGGGGGAAGCCGTACAGGGCGCACGACGCTCGGACGAAAGCAACGTCGCGCGCGTGGCAAGTCCCAAACCTCCGACGTCGCGATCTTTCTTCGTGACATGGGCCGCAGGAGCTCTCGACCCGGCTGTTCGGCCCGCACCGCTCTTCTGATGGCCCCTCGGGCCCCGACAGCGTGCCTGAAGAGGCTGGAGACTTGAGAGCCGTCGGTCGTTTCGATCTTTACTCGTGGCGCCTGAGGCCTGTGGCCGCGAGCGCCACACGATCACGGCGCGCGACCTGCTCTTCTGCTGTTCTGCCGCCGACTGCCACAAGGGACCAGAATCCTGAGGGAAACGTGTCCTGGGTCCTGGGCCCCAAGACCTTCCCCAAGGCCTCCGTCTTCCTGGTGAGAGCCCCAAACTGGGGCTGGGAGGGCCCGCGGGAGCCCGAACATAAAAGCAACCCTCCAGAGGCCCCCTTCCGTCATGGCGGCTGTCGTCGCCACCGCCGCCGCCTTGGGATCCTCC